CTTTTTTTTTTGGGGTTCCCGGGAAATAAAAAATTTTTTTTTGTTTTTAGGCAATAAAAATTTTTTTTTCGGGGCAGGTGGCTTTCTTCCCCGGGGGGGGTCCCGGGTAAATAAAAAAGGGGGGGCCTTTTTTCCGGGAAGGGGCCTTATAATTTCATTCAAGAATGGTTGGGGGGGCTTTTATTTGGTTAAAAAATTTTGGGGTTTTAATTAGAATTTTCCCAACGGGGGGGGCTTGTGCCCTCCAGCCCCCCCCCCCCCCTTATAACCGCCAGTGTTCATCACTCTCATTTTTGCTTGCACCTACCCTCTTTCATGGTCAATTGATCTATGATAGAAAGCTTTTGTAAGCAATAAATGGAAATGTGGCAATGCAGGATTATCTTGATAGTCGATACATGTTTATAATTATGCATACTGAGAGATGATGAGAGTAGATATGCATTACAGGTACACACTATATATTTTGCTTTGGCTTCTCAATTGCAGCAATATAATGCATGTATCATTAAAGAAGAAATGAAGGCAATAGGATTTTTCCAGTTCTATCATCTAATGGCAATGTTCATTGTTGTTGTTGCAGAAATTAATTTATTTATACCTCAAAGTATCAAAAGGTACACTTTGACAGTAAGGCAATCATCAGTAAACACTAGAGCCTCAGCAGTCAGCACATACACTTTAAGTAACTTGAAACTATTCATCATGTAATTTGAGTACATGTATTACATACACTGACACCTCTAATAAGTGATAATAATTATAACTTCTTTAACAGTTAAAAAAATTTTAATGTATATCAGCTAAAACAGTGAACATTCATGCAATAAAAAATTGGTGTCCCAAAAGTTTCTTTATTCTGAGATTCCACTGTACATGTATGTATGATTTTGTTTTTTATTTTTGATGCAATTGCATGGCATATGCTATGTGTTGATGTACATGTATACATTTTATCATGTTTTGATGGAGCATTATGTATTTTTAAGAAAAGTATGCACTCTGTTACATAAAAAAATGACATTAAGTTACCGTATTAAATGTCTCATAGATTAATACACAACTCTGTATAAATAATTCATTGATACAGTATATAGTTGTTTTTGCAAATTCTTAGAATTATAGTGTATAATCATAAACGGCAATACTCCTAGATTACCACAACTGATCATGTGCTCCATTACTATTCTCCCCACAGTTTGCTCACTTCCTCTTATGCGTACAGGCAAAAGCATATTATAGTTAATACAAAACATGTACTCTTATCATATTCAGAGTCCTTCTTACCTATTTTATTCTATAAATTTTTTATGTATTTAGGCAGTTCCAATAAAATTACTTGGTTTACGGATCCGACCGACTCCAATTTTTGGAAAATCAAAATAAATTTAAATTTTCTAATGCGCATGCGCAGTACCACGTGGTGGGTGTGGCTAGATTCAAAATGGCGCTAAATGTATTTGTTACTGTTAAAAGAGCAAGCTCCTCTATCTTACCTTCCACTGTATGTCAAACCTCTGTGGCATCTACTGTTTGGGACTTGTTAGAGCAGCCATTCATGTTAAATAAGCCTACACTCACAGAAGTTGCTAGAGTATTTTGATAGTTTGTTTTAAAAAGTTGTGGTTAACTAACAATTATTAAAGTTAATTAATGAGTAGTTAATTAATTTCATTGTTTATATTTTAATTTATTCCGACCGGCCTGCTCTATTTTAGAGAAAAAAAAACCGTAAAACAAGTAATTTAGTTTGAATTGCCTTATTGGCTCCTCTACATGTAATGTACATGTATATCAAACATGAAAGCTTCATAGTCAATGCACAGCTAAGCATGATTCATTTTCAAGCTTTATATAATTGGGTGGTTCCCTCTTCACATTATGCTCACTGCTTTATTCTGATCATATCACCCACTGGTAGTAAAGAAAGACAAAGCCTTTTATTTTGCACTGCACTGAACACAAGAAGTACTATTAAACAGCAAATTATTGATAATCTTTGATAATAAAAGCAATTAATTTTTGTGTGAGTGCCAGCCTGTTAATTGTTAGACGCAAATAAACTATTGTTGCTAGAAATTGTTTATTAGAATAAATAGGGAGAGCACAGCACACAATTAACCTATAATGGGTTGTTTAGGCTCGCCCCTTTAATGTTCTACATTACTTCTAGTAATTTAAAGCTTAGTACACGACATGCATTTACATGTGATTGTCATACTGCCAAGAGTGATAATTAGCTAGGGAGATCAAGTGTCTAAGTTTCTCATAGTAGCTGAGATCATAATATCTATGCTGAGATGGGTGCATGGCTAGACCCACCCTCTGCTAGCCACACAAGACTATAAATTATAACATGCAGACACGTAGATATAAATAATGTGACTGTTTATATCAGTTTAATAAAGACATAATGTTGTTGACGACAAAGACAGACTATTGTATTAATTAAAACTATAGAAAAATATTATCTTTGGTAGATCAGTCTAAAAGTGTATAATGATCAGACCAGGAATCCACCCCTCTGGGATCAGACTAGACCAGGATCAGACCACCAGGCTGATCAGCACCCCATTCTACCAATTATTCCACCCCTCTGAGTAATAAGATATTATAATGATATTCAGTGTTTTTTTTAGTATCTTTCAGTAGCTATACACTGATACACCCATCCTTTATAGAGGTATAGTTACATTGTTCATTTCAATTTACAGTGGAAAAGACTTGTTGCTGTATTTGAAATTTGCAGGGCTAGAAGGCTCTTCTCTTTTAAAGTCCTGCTATCTTTATTGTGGTGCATGTAAGTCATACATGTAACTGAAATAGTTACACCTTAAGTTACCTAATTCTCTCATTGTCCTCCATAAATACCATAGTACATACAAGATGGTTGATGTCACTCAATGGAGAGTGAGTATTGGATTATGGAACTGCTGCCAAGCTGCCTCCAGTAGACCAGCTGATGGCCACAACTTTCACTCATTCAAAGATGCTATAAACAGCAAGTCAGGCCACAGTACTATATCAGGAGAGAAGACACCCAAACAGCTAGCAGCTCTATCTTTTATTGTTTCTCTTTTTTTATTATTATTAAGTATCAAGCTCATTCTTTTTCCTCCATCTGGTAAACAAGCTAGCTACTACATAATTTATAATAATCATACTGTGCATGTATTTACAATAGGTATAATTCCTATTACTGTGAAGATCTGCCTAGGCCTCCAGTCATTAGTCTTGTTTATAGCTAGATCTAGATCTACAATTGGCAGTAGCTCTGACCTGATCTACTATTTGGTTTTACTTCTCCTCCTCTTATCTGGAGATGTTGAACTCAATCCTGGTCCTATGATTGATGACCAACCTGATATTTTCCTATTACTTCAATGGCTTGAACCGCTTGTTGACTGGCAACCTTTTGGTCTTCTTTTACCTGGAATAAAACAACAAGATATTACAATAATTATAAAACAAATTAATTCTGAACATCAAAAACTAGCTTTATTCACAAAATGGTTAAATACAAACCCTGTCGCAACATGGAGAGATGTACTCAATGCATTGACTAAAAGAGAAGAGGTCAATTTATTGCAAACTATTAATGCCCAGTTACAAATACACCAACGTACAAGAGGTAAATAAATGATCATGCATCTAATTAATAAATCTGTTGCTACATTAACACACTCATTAACTGATAACACTACTATAGATCATACGACAGAACCTATTGCAGCAACTGATTTAACAGTAGTTGAAGAGAATCGCTTCACTCATGACAGTAATACTGACATTACATCAGGTATAAAATGTATATAAACTATTGATCCTACCTTTGCTAAATGCTAATAATAGGTAATAATGACACTCCTACTAGTACACCAGTAGTATCTACTGTATCATCATCAGTTTATAAAACTGTTACCAGTGCTACAACATCAGGTGAGTATACCCTTATTACACTCGTTATAACTGATGAGTACTGCAGGTGATTCAAAGGATATATTAAGGACTCATTCCAGTAAACTCACTGATGTTATTACTACTAACCTTTACAGAGTAACTGATGCACTGTATGCTGAAGGACTGATACCACTGGATACCAAAGACAATATACAAACAGCAACAGGAATATCTGATCATAGGAAATCAAGTCAATTAGTGTCTGTGCTACAACGACTGTTGGAATCTTCTCTTAATCCAGAACAGTATCTTATTGATATATGTCAAGTATTGATAAACCAACAACATCATACACTAACAGATATTGCTACCTCTATATCACACCAGCTAGGTGAGTGTGTGTGACATTATGTACTCTTGGTAATACCTTATTACTGAGATTAGCCTATACCTGATGTACTATCATTGTTTAATTTCTGCATGCATTCTTTCTATATCATGTTTTGATCAATAGGTCAGTCTGATGAAACTAAATTCATTAGTTCAATACCTGATGATGTTCAAGGATATGCTGAAAATATGAAACAACACTACATACACCAACCTGTTGTTGCTACAGACTGGCCACCAAGAATTGGAAAAGATTTTTTTGGAAGACTAGCACTAGTAAAAAAACAAGATTCCAGGAGACAAGCAGAATCAGCTTGGCATCTGCTAAGAGGAAAAGTTGATGAAACAGTTCAACTAACTGAAAACAAAGAGATAAGTGTTGACGACATCCTGCAACCCACAGATAGCTCTCTGTCTCTAAGAGTAGTAATAGACGGTCCTCCTGGTATTGGCAAGACAACACTCTGTCGTAAACTGTTAAAAATGTGGGCTAATGGAACACTTTTACACCAACATTATTACTTGGTAATTTACTGTCCTTTAAGGAATAGCAAGATAACTACAGCTACTACACTAGCTGACCTGTTTGAATATAAAAGTTCCAAACTTTCAAAAGTAGTTGGTTGGTTTTCAGATAGAGATGGAGAAGGATTACTGATAATCTTTGATGGTTGGGATGAACTAAGTGAACAACTCAGACAGTCTTCATTGGCTACTAGTATTATTCATAGAAAGCAGTTAGACCAATGTTCAGTAATTGTTACCTCTCGTAGCTATGCCTCCTCTTCACTTTTAAAAATGGATACTATCAGTAGGCATGTTCAAGTTATTGGGTTTTCTAAGCATGACATATCAACAGTAATTATACAAACAATTCAAGAAGATACAAAATTAGCACAAGAACTCATAAAATACTTTGCCCTTACTGCAGACAATAGTGAAAGTAAACAAGTTAAATTACCAACTGATAAAAGCTCACAACTAGCAGTGAGCCTTATTAATGATCTAAAACTACGAAATGATGTCAAATCATTGTGCTATGTACCACTAGTCTGTTCCATGGTCATCTTAGTTTATTGTAAGGAAGGAGGACACTTACCAAAAACACTCACTCAACTGTATGAGAACTTTATTTTACAAACTATCAGAAGACATTTGGAAAAACAGGACATTAACCCACATACTTTAGGTAGTCTTTCTTCATTACCATCACAATTAGCTAAACCTTTACAAGAGATGTGTCAGTTAGCTTATACTAACCTGGTTAATACAAGAATGACATTCTATTCACATCAACTACAGTCGCTGAGTGAAGCAATCAAAGAAAAATATCTTGGATTGATGACAAAATTTATAAATTATGATGAGGAGGAGTATCAGTTCCTTCACTTGAGTATACAGGAATTTCTAGCTGCATGGTGGATAGCTAAGCATGAGGAGAAGACAGAGGAAGTGTTTAAGGATCACTTTAATAATGATCACTTTCGAATGTGTCTGAGGTTTGTGGCAGGTCTAACTCACCTTGAACATGAGAGCTACCAACAGTATTTTAATAAAAAACTTGACTTACATAAGATGAAGCCATTGTTTTGGTTTGGGAGTTTTCATCTCTCCTACTTTTATCAGAATCCCGAAATTAGCTTAAAATATATTACAGTTGATGGTCCTTTGGACAATATTCCCATTCTTCTTTTTCAACTCCTGTATGAATCACAGAACAAAACATTATGTCAAGTATTAGCACAATCCATCAACAACCACTCACTGTATCTTGATACTGAATCAGCACATCTATCATTGTTTGACTTGTTGTGTCTCAGTTATTGTATAAACAATTCCAACACAACATGGAATCACTTGGACCTGAGGCGTACATCTAACCAGGAACTATCAGTTATTGCTGCTGGGCTAACCAATAACTCACTACAGACCCAGTGTAAGAGACTAGATTTAAGGATGTATGAACCCACCAATAACTCAATACATAAATTATTACAACCATCATCAATTCTATGTAATATTCAGGAGTGCTACTGTAAGTTCGTATTAGATATTTTTCAAGTTAAATTTATTTTGTTACAGTTCCTCAATCTTCCTAAAGTGACAATACTACACTTAGAAATAAATGATTCTCTTAAAAATGCATACTCTAAAGACAAGTGCACTGAACTTGAAAAATGTATAGAAATGAATTCAACACTACGAGAAATGTTAATTCACTATACTGGAAGTAATGAAATAACAGCCATTATCAGTGTCATTAAAGGAGTAGCAAGAAATAAAACAATAACATCATTAACACTAGAAATACATGATTTTCTTATTAAAACACTTCTTCCTCCTCCTCTTCTATCTGATGGAGTAATAGAGCAGTTACTAAAGGACAACAACACATTACAAGCTCTTTCACTGGACATACCTGATAAACTCCTACCATCATCACTGAATATAGTAGAGGTGAACACACCATTGACTGCTCTAGGGATAGGAGGATGGAGTATCAATAAATTGATGACATCATCACTCCTTCCACATATCAAAGGATTACACTGTCTGATACTATATGATCCATACCCACCACATCTTCTATTTCTCTCTCATTCCAGTCTACATACACTTACTTTACAACGACTAGACACAGCTGAGAGTGCTATTGAACTATTTACTATTCTAAAAACCAATACTACACTTAAAACTCTGAGTGTGGAGATTTTCAACAGAGTATATACCAGCAGTATGGGTACTAGTCTACAAGACATGCTAATGCAAAACCAAACACTGAAATACCTTAAGATTATGTCTTATTACGAGTGCAAGTATGGAAGGTTCATTCCTAGTTCATTCCTGTCCTTTCTATCAACTGGTCTTAGACACAACACTAGTCTACAGCACTTGAGAGTATGTATTCCACTGAATGAAGGGATAAAAAGTTTTATTAATGTCATATCTCTAATGAACAATCTCACAGAACTTGCAATATTTTTTGAACCAGATCATTTATGTAGTTGGGAAGAGAACGTACAAGTAATCACACCATTGCTATATGAACAGGTAGTACCTGCTGTTACTAACATGTTACAGTCACATACAACCATCAGACTACTGAAGTTAGGACATGCACATGACAATAAGTCATCTCAACCTAACTGGATAGAGCTAGTACAACATTTATATGAAACTATCTTCATTCATCCATCACTTGAATATATTGGAATTAGATACACTCTACTCCTGATGAAAACTCTTAATCATCAAAAGAAAACATTGATTGATAGACATAAAAGAGAACAGCCACAAAAACTGCTACCAATAGTAAGACTTTATTAGCTATGTGTAATTCAGTATTATTATTACTATTACAGTGCATGAAAACAATTATGTGCTAGTCTATGAAAAATTAACTTATATTTTATAACAATAATAACAAATTATTATTACTATTGGCTTGGAATCAGGTTATGAAGCAGCCAGTAGATTAGAATAAATAGGGAGAGCAGAGTTGGAAACCGTATGGACAATTTATTACACTGCTTGCAATAGTTTGTTCAAATTTTAGAGCCATTGGTTTCTAGAGCACTTCCTTCCGTAATGCAATGCCCCATGAAAGTTCCCACGTACAGTATAATATGATAGCATAATAATGTTACAAAAAATAAAGCCAAAAGCATTCCCCAGTCTGTTATACCTCAAAATGTCAGTTAATGGTTTATACTTTGACACTAACATTTATCCTATGTTTGTGTGCTCTTTCTATTTTGGACTTACAGGGATCTGCTTTTATAATGATGTACAACATTGCTTTTTTGATAAAGTTTTACATTTGGTTTTCAATTTATGCACATTTTTATGACACTAAAACTTTAGGATTAATATAATAGCAGGTGTACTTATTATTATGAAATTACTTTTGCAAATTCTTAGAATTTATTGTTTACTCAGTAAAAACCACAGTACATGCTCCCCAAGTTCACTTTTTACTCCCTCTGTTATATTTCACTGTGTGTATAAGGCATACAAGCAGGTACTTTCCTAAGCACCAATGCTTAGTTTACAATTAAAAACTTTCAATACTTTTGTCATATTCAGACTCTCTTTTTCCTATAGAACTATTCATATTGTTTTGTTAAGTTGTAAGTTCTATTATTATCAGTACAAGTCTGAAAACATACTGCATGTACCCTATCTATTATGTGTTAATGTTGATCTGCATAAGGAGGACAAAGTAATTGTCATTCACTCATTCATAATGAATACATCTCTAATGGGTTTATGTAACTCTGAATTGATGCATTACATTCTTTATTGTTAAGAAGAATGCATGCAATAAACTTGTTGATCAAAAACAGTGGTTACCCTAAATCCTATTAGAACTGTAAATACATGAAGCACTGTTAATATTTTGGTTTATACACGTATCTGTTGGTTTATTTGGTTTCTGTTCTTTCTAAAAATGTTGATGTAAGAAATAAATGTATATACCGGTATGTACATACATGTTACTCATGCAGTAAAGAGTATTACCAAATGAATCTGTAAAAATGACCAAATTTAGTCGAAAGGCCTCTAATGACAATAATAACTGTGGTAAAGCAACACAAACTATTCATTAATGACCATAAAGCCAATGTGGGTGGGTATGAAACAGTTTCGCCTTTCGTAATCAACGATGAATTTCATTATACATTAGATATTCTATAAAAGCTGTCACTTGTACTTATTTTGATACAAACTTATTCTTTCAAACCTTTGCTATTAATTTGTGCTATAGTTTCTTTTAAAATGTTTTCCATTATTCTCCTTTGCTGTTTTCTTGTCGTTGCTTCAAGTGATGGTGCTGTAACTACAAAAAAAAGAGATGTAGCTGCTGTCACTGACTGGCTGTACAAAATCAACAAGAGGCATGGCTCTCAACTGGAAGTACGTCAAGACAACACTGCTTGTGAAAACCAGCTTCAAAGTGACCTTCCTTCCTATTGCAACTTAACAGAACTTACAGGTGGTCTCTCAAATCTTCCTGCTTCATCCCTCACTGATGCTCAGCTCACTATTCTCAACAATGCTTATGCTCGAATTTGTGTCTCAGCTTGCATCAATCCAATTGACACCTACTACAATTGTATAGCAACAAATGATGATACCTTAAGGGATTATCTCATTACCTTGATTCGTCAAGGTGTTTGTGGACAGGAGAGTGGAGACTATTGTGAGGTGAGGTACATAAGGCAATATGAAGGAAATTACACAAGTTTCCAACGTTTGTTAAATACCTGTACAATTACCTCTGGTGGAATATCCAGCTGCAGCTCTGCTTCCTCCACTTGTCTTGATAGTGTTAACACATTCAGTCAAAGGATGGGTTGTTGTACTGAGCCATATCTTGGATCTGGTGTCACCTCATGCAGTGGTGTTAGTGTGGATGAGCCTTGTACTGGAGTATCCAGTGCTACTGGACTAGTAGCTCCTGTCTTTGTGATGATACTCAGTTTGGTTGGATTTTTGGTCTGAGCTAAGCTGCTATGCTGTGTGCTTGTGCCATGAACATTATAGAGACTATAGCTCTTGAACCGTAGTTTAGTTTTAGTTATATTAGTATGGAGTTTGAATTAGTTGTGAGGTTGTTTTTTGATATTTTTGATAAATAAAATCAGTTATCAGTTAATAATTAATAACAAATTGCCAAGTGATATTAAATTGCCAAGTGAATTGCGCCATGCAGATTGCATCAGAACTTCATTGAAGTGATATATTTACAAATATCATGGATAAATATAGTCTGGTTGAACTAGACTGATAACTACTTTAAGATTATTTCATTTTAATGCATCCTGCTTAATGAACAGCTCTGGCACTGCTTTGACTGTTTTGATCTCAGGTTGCCAGCAACAAAGTTGCCTAGTAATGTTCACACATTAAACTCATGCATGCACTGGTTTAGCATTGATTTTACAATGTAACATAGTTATGGGGTTAGTGTTGGTTAGTGTGAATGAGCCTTGTACTGGAGTCAGTGGCTAGTAGCTCCTGTCTTTGTAAGGAACTGATGATACTCAGTTTGATGGTTGGATTTATAGTCTGATTGTTGATATGGATGATGCATGCATCATCCTGCATCATGTCAACACAATTAACTGTTAGTAAGAGTTTTGGGTAAAGACATGCTATTCTTTAGTACACAGCCAAGAATTTTAAGTTGATTCATAGCTGATTTCAATGATGACCCAGCTTGACGCATCCCTGTATCATAGATTTTGGGCAGCCTGCAGGTGCGTGCAGCGTAGCATGATTGATACAATTTTGATTGTCAGCCATAAAGCTCATGATTATGATACAACCATGCTGGTGTATGGTAAGCTTACTGGTTCAGGCAGAGCAACAGACATGATTCAACACAACATTGATGCCAGTCAAAGTTGTATCAAAATAGACCGGGCTTGAATCAATAATAATAATTTTAATTATTTATTCATTATCTGTTGGGCGTGGTTGATCAATTATTAACAATGAATGATAATTATTCAGAATGCATGGTGCCGACAGTTTTGTCACTGTGAATGCGGGGAAAGTCCTATTTCTAGTGATGATAAAAGTTCAGGACTAATCTCATCTGATTCCTTACGGAGAGTGAAGAGGCGAAAGAGGAAGCGTTCTACAGAACCTGAGACTGAGTCGACTAGTACTACAACAGAGGAAAGGCCCTCTGTAGCCATGTTGAGCCTGATTTTGAACTCCCTTCAGAGTCTCCTCTATCATTAAAGATGAAGCAGGACCAAGTGCAGTTGCTGATGAAGCTAGCACCTCACAAAATAAAGAACTGCTTGATAGCGACCATCAATCAATTATTAATAAATCAGTGGAAATAATAAAAGACTAGACTAATAATGATGACATTTTTGCAGATACTTATGAAGAGGGTGCCAATGAAGTAGACGATTACTCTACACTTTTAAAAAGTATGTGACAGTGAGTCTGATGATGATGGTCTTACCTACTGTTAATTTCTGTAAAGGGGATTGGTCTAGTAAGTGACTACACGTTCAATGCATATGGATTTGCTAATTTTTATAGTCTAATGTAAGGTTTTATTTTATTTTTATGCCATAGTAACTTATGTATTATTTATGAACATAATGTTTAAGAGGTACTATATAATTTTTCTATTTTATTACATTTTTATGGTAGAAAGAGTTGCCAATCAAAACAAGATTTTTGTGAATTTTCAAAGCAGTGCCGAATACATTGACCAAATTTTGTCAATAATGACTAAGAGAAATTTTTTTATTTTTTTAGATTTTCTGATGCATAATACATATCCTTATATATATTGTGTAGCTAATTCCAATCAAATTTAAATTTTTATGAATTTTTAAAGCTGCTTAAAAATTGGCCCAAAGTCCCTGTACCATTATGAAAAGATCTCAAACCAAATTTCATCAAAAATGACAAAAAGAGAATTCTACATTTTTATAATTTTTTAAATGCATATACATGCCCTTATGTTGTTTAGAAAATTTGAAGTACACGTAATTTCAATTGAATTTGGATTTTTATGACTTTTTGAAGTTGCTCAAAAATTGGGCCAAAGTCCTTGCAAGGTCTTAAACCAAATTTGATCAAAAATGAATAGGAAAAAAATTATTGATATATATATATATACATGTACATATGTTGTGTAGAAAATTTGAGCTAATTCTAATCAAATTTGGATTTTTATGAATTTTAAAAGTTGTGTACTAACATGATAATTGATATAATTATACTGTAGAGATATTTCATTGGTTGACCGAGCACCTGTCATTAAATAGAACAGGAGGAGGAGAGAGAAGAGGAAGCACAAATATAAGAAACCATCAGCTAGGAGGAGACCAATGAGACAACAGGTAATGATAGGTATGACGATAATGAATCCTTTATTATTATATAGTGGTTTTTAAGGATAATAATTTTTGTGAAGGACCTGTATCCAGAGGTTCACAAAATTAACTTTTTCACTATTCTATCATCTTGTACTGTATTAAATTTCAAGGAATAAAGTTTTTTTAAGGAATAAAATTTTTTGAATCTTAAAAAATTTGATAAATTTGCAAAATTTGTTATGCTTGAAAAGAACCATTATACTGTAACAGAGTTAGCTACAGTGTAGATCTACTGTATAAAAGGAAATTTTGGAGGTAGTTAAATTTGGTGAATTTGGCATTTTAATACCCATTCACCAGAATAAAAATCGACCATTTTGAGGCATGCTCAATGGCACATGGCCACCAAAATTTAGCAATTCGGCAAATTTAACTCCCTCCAAAATTTCCTTCTATACAGTATAAGCACATTTTTTGAGTTTAGGAAAGCATTTTTTATTTACTTTTTGTTTATATCAGGTACATACAGTGACATCACATCCAGGAAGGACTATCAGTTAATGTTAGAGTTAAAGTGAAATTTGAGTAAATGAAAAAGAAGGAAAGGAAAAGGAGAGAGATATATGAAGGTAAAAGACAAAAGAAAAGAGAAAGGAAGGAGGAAGGGTGTGGGAGAGTGAGGCTGAACATGGATAACTGTATTATCACACATCAGTTAATTCTTTCTCTCTTCTTTTCTTCCCTCTACAGCTACCATGACTCACTTCGACAGCTTCAAACTTGTCAACACCATAACTACTGTACGTGTATGTGTTCAATAATATTATTTTTTATGGCATACCATACATGCTATACTCCAGTAGTAATTCAATGAGACCATACTGTTCTGAAAATTACTAATTATTGTTGTGTCATAATGCAGCTAAAATTTTTAATCTGTTCAGTGCATGTAGCATTCATCACATTCCAGTAGTTACTCTCATTCTATTTCCTTTTAAGGGCCAATTGATTAATTATAGAAAGCTTTTGTAATCAATAAACTGAAATGCAGGATTATCTCAATACATGTTTATAATTATGCACATGCATATAAGAGTCATGCATATGTATTTGCTTTGGCTTCTCAATTTACTGCACTTTATGCATGTGTCATTAAAGAAGGAAAGAATGCAATAGCATTGTCCCAGTTCTATCATCTAATTGCAATGTTTGTTGTTGTTACAGAATTTAATTTATTTATGCCTTAAAGTGTCAGTTTATTTTGAGATTTAGACAATCATTAGTAAACACTAGCTCAGCAGTCAGCACATTATATACTTTAGGAAACTTTAAACCATTCATTAAATTTAAATACATGTAGATCTATTAAATAAGAGACTTCTTTATCATTTGAAAAAAATTTCAATGTACAGTATGTATCAACTAAAATATTAAATATTCAAAATTGGTGTCCCAAAACCTCCCTTTCTTTGAAACTTGACTGTACATGTATGTATAGTTTTGTGTTCTATTTTTGAAGCAATATTACATGGTTTATGCTATGTGTTGATGTACATGTACATATATATTGTATCATGTTTTGTTGGAGCATAATGTATTTTAAGAAAAGTATGCACTCTATTACATAAAATAATTACATCAGGTTACTATAGTTGTTTTAGAAAATTTTTTGCAGTGAATAATCATAAACACTAACTCTTTTTTGTGTACTCCTTCTATTAGGGATCTGCTATTATAATGATGCAAAGCATAATGCAACATTGCCATGTTTTGATAGAGCTTTATGTCTTTTTCTGAGGTTTTCAAATTCATAAACCCTTTTTATGACACTAAAACTTCAGTTGCAATATATAAAGAATTAATATTATAGTAGGTGTACTTACCTCTTTATTATAAAATTGCTTTTGCAAATTCTTGGAATTTGTTGTTTACTTAGTACGAACCACAGTATAACTGCTCCCCAGTTCAATCTTTCGTTCACTCCCTTTGTTATTTTATTTCAGACTCCCTCTTGTGTGTACAAGCAAGTACTTTCCCAAGCACCAATGCTTAGTTTACAATTTAAAACTTTCAGTGGGTGATACATTGAATGTACAAACACTACCTGTATTATGTATTGATGTAATTATAATCTGCATAAGGAGGACAAGGAAATTGTCATTTACTCATTCATAATGAATGTATCTCTAATGGTTCATATAACTCTGAATTGATGCATTACATTCATTTTGTAAAAAATTGTATGCAATAAACTTGTTGTTCACAAACAGTTTTTACTGCATAATTAGCACTTTTGATCCTTCGGCTTATAGTATCTGTTAGCCTGTTACTATTCTTAATAAAATGTTGATTCAAGAAGTAGATGTGCATGTACTGTAGCCTCAAGTAGCCAGACCACAACCTGTACTGTACATGTTACTCTTAAAGAGTAATTATTATACAAGTTTTAAAAGTAACCAAATTTGGTCAAAGTAGAGCCTGACAGGCCTCTGCCTGACTATAGTCAAAGTGTCTCTAATAACAATAATACCTGTGGTAAAGCAGCACAAACCAGTCATTAATGACCGTGAAGCCAATTTGGGTATCAATTAAACAGTTGCCTGTCGATAAATCAACAATGAATTTCATTATGCATTAGATATTCTATAAAAGCTGTGCATTCGGACCATTGCTATTACTTTATGCTATTTCCTTAATTGAGAATGTTTACCATTTTTCTTCTTTGCTGTTTTCTTGTCGTTGCTTCAAGTGATGGTGCTGTAACTACAAAGAAAAGAGATGTAGCTGCTGTCACTGACTGGGTGCACAAAATCAGTAAGAGGCATGGCTATCAACTGGAAGTACGTCAAGACCTCACTGCTTGTTTAAACCAGCTTCAAAGCGATCTTCCTTCCTATTGCAACTTCACAGAGCTTTCAGGTGGTCTCTCAGATCTCCCTGCTTCATCCCTCACTGATGCTCAGCTCACTGCTCTCAACAATGTTTACTCTCGATTTTGTGTCTCAGCTTGCATCGATCCAATTGACACCTACTACAATTGTATAGTGACAAATAATGATGCCTTAAGGGATTATCTCGTTACCTTGATTCGTCAAGGTGTTTGTGGACAGGAGAGTGGAGACTATTGTGAGGTGAGGTACATAAGGCAATATCGAGGAGATTACTCAAGTTTCCAACGTTTGTTAAATTCCTGTCCATCAAGTACCTCTGGTGGAGGAATATCCTGCAGTTCAGCTCCTTCCACTTGTCTTTCTAGTGTTCGCACATTCAGTGATAGGATGGGTTGTTGTACTGAGCCATATCTTGGATCTGGTATCAACTCATGCAGTGGTGTTAGTGTGGATGAGCCTTGTACTGGAGTATCCAGTGCTACTGGACTAGTAGCTCCTGTCTTTGTGATGATACTCAGTTTGGTTGGATTTTTGGCCTGAGGCTGCCACTGCTGTATGCCATGAACAATATCGAGACTAGCTTTTGAACCGTAGTTTAATTTTACTTATAATAGAGTTTGCATTAGTTGTGAAGTTGTTTTTTTTGATAAATAAAGTTTCTTTGATGAATAAAATCAGTTATCAGTTAATAATTAATAACAAATTGCCAAGTGAATTGCACCATGTAGATTGCATCAGAACTTCATTGAAGTGATATATTTACAAATATCATGGATAAATATAGTCTGGTTGAACTAGACTGATAACTACTTTAATTCCAAGATTATGCCATTTTTAAAAATTATAATGCACCTGCTTAATGAATGGCTCTGTCACTTTGACTGTTTTGATCACAGGTTGCCAGCAACAAAGTTGCCTAGTAATGTTTGTACATTAAACTCATGCATGCAGTTCTGTAAGCCTTGTACTGGAGTATCCAGTGCTACTGGACTAGTAGCTCCTGTCTTTGTGATGATACTCAGTTTGGTTGGATTTTTGGCCTGAGGCTACTATGCTGTGTGCGATGAACATAAAGAGACTATCTCTTGAATAGTTTAGTTTTAGTTATGTTAGTATAGAGTTTGAAGTCAGTTGTGAATTTTTTTGATAAAGATATCAGTGAATAATAAATTGCCAAATTATAATTGCACTATCATAAGTTCGTAATTTGCAATAAAGTGATGCATTTATTATAGATAAATATTAAGCCAGACTAGAATTATACTTAGATTTATATGTTCATCAGGATCATTCCTGTTAAATAACGCATATACATGTACACATGTAATGAATTCTGGCACCATGCTGCTTTGACTGTTTTGATCACAGGTTGCCTATTTCTTGGCAACAACATGTTTTTTGTAAACAGTCATAGTAGAGCTAATAATAATAGTAATAATGATAAATGTTGCTTACAAGATCAGAGTAACTACAAATGTTGCTGGCAACAAGTTGCCTCATGTATGAAGGCCTTAATGACGACACATTCAGAAATACCGCCATGGTATAGCGGGTTATTTTTGAGGGTAACAAATTTCACAAATTTTGCAGATTTTTCAAGATTCAAGAATTAATTTCCTTGAAAATCAATTTGATGGGGTACAAGATGGCAGAATAGTCAAAATTTGCAAAAATTAATTCAGCAAACTTCCTGCATCTATGCTTCCTGATATGGTTCATTCTCAAAATTTATTATCCTCAATAAAAACACTATACAGTAGGATGGGCTAACACCACTACATGAGTTGACATCAGATGCTCAGTACAACAACCCATCCTATCACTGAATATCATGACATTAAGGCCTTCTAGCAACATTTGTAGTTACTTTGCAGAGGTGTATTTAGGTGGGGGCTGAGGGGGCTTGAGCACCCTCTTAATGGGTGGGCTCAGAAAAAATTACTGAAGTCCTGGACTCTTGCATCACTACCAAACCTCTTAACAAAGGTATTTAGCCCCCTGATCATGATTTCAGCAGTTTCCAGTGCTTTATTAAGGAGCAGTCAGAAGTACCAGTAACATGGCAGTATGCTTGAAATAATCTTGGCCCCACCCATAATTGACGAAAATGCAGGAAAAGGCTGTTTTACCAGCATTGAAGAAGCAATCTATTTTTTTACGATCTAGGGGTGAAGCCCCCAGGTTGTTCCTATAATTGATTTCACTAATAATAAATACAGTGGTTGTGTGGGTGGATAACAGAAAACTATTATTAATTTATTATGCCATCAAGCATGTACATAATGTATGGTTCAAAATGGTGGGGTTTATTTTGGCAAATGCCTATTCTATTTAAATGCCAAATTTGTCAAAATTTATTGCCTCCAAAATTAAATTACCATCTATACAGTAAATGTACATGTACATGTACATGTATGTTAAAATACTTACTCAAATCTCCTAACAGAGAGTGATACTGGAGGATGAGACAGTTGAGTAGCTATTACTGACCACTTGCAGCTGCTGGAAATGACCAGCCATGATGTAATTGATAGTAGACTGAGGTGAACTATCTGTATGATGCAAGGAAGGCAAGAAATAAAGAATGAATCATTATAAATACCATATAGCACTTCATTTTTGCAGCGCTTTATTTTGTCAATTTTGTTGTAAAATTATAATTAGAGAATCTTGTGTACACTTATGCATTACTGAGCATGCACATTAATGATTGGCAGTTTTAATATTGGCAAATCTGCTTGTAAACCACCAATAAAACCTGATAAATTGATAATAAAATTGATAAAGATATCAGCTAATAATACATTGCCAAATTAATTGCACTTTCAGATTGCATCATAAGTTCATAATTTGCAATAAAAGTGATACATTTATCATGGATGAGAATATTAAGCCAGACTAAATTATACTTTGATTTAGCTCTATATGTTCATTTAAAGGATTATTTCAATTCTGGCACTGCTTTAACTGTTTTGATCACAGGTTGCCAGCAACTTTCTACTCTTGGCAACATGTTTTTCATAGCCAGAGCTAATAATAGTACAGTAATAATGATTGATAAATGTTGCTTACAAGATCAAAATAACCACAAAATGTTGCTAGCAACAAGTTGCCTTGTGTATGAAAGCATTAATGTCAACACATTCAGTGATAGAATGGGCCAACACCACTGCATGAGATCCAAGATATGGCTCAGTACAGCAACCCATCCTATTACTGAAAATATTAACATTAAAGCCTTCATACACGTGGTAACTTGTTGCTAGCAACATTTGTAGTTATTTTGATCTTGTAAGCAACATTTATCATTATTACTATTACTATTAGCTCTGCCGGCTATGATTGTTTA